TTCGCTATACTAGAGGAGCCCTGGATATTTTCCCAATGGTGTCCTAATGGTTGTGACTTATTTTTTGGGAGCTTTTCTCCAGGTACCATGGACTAAGAGTAGAGCAGACAGGATTCAGGCCTTCTTAACGTTTATGTCTAAGTCCATCAGGGAAGGCAGACCCTGCAGAAGTGACTGGGAAAGTGTTGACAGTCACACAGGGCAAGTGCAGACTGCGGGGAGAAGTCCCACTGTCTGGGAATGTGGGAAGGCTACTGGGAGATGCGGCTCTTGCACTCTTTCGCTCTCCACTGAGTGACTAATAGGACCTCTTTCATCCTGTATTCATTAGCGCAATATTGAAAAGAAAATGTTTTCTAGCTTTTAAAATTTTCACATAAAGAGAATTGGGCTATTCATTACCCAAAAGCCCTTTACACACACTTAAAAGATCATATTCAAGTCTTTATTTCAAGTGATTAGCCTATATTAATTTCACTATCTTTAAAGAATTTGATTCTGGGAATATTTTCTGTTAACAGTTTGAAAAATTTCCTAAGATTTTGTGAAACACTTAGATATTTTATAAAGCTCAAATTTATTTCCTTCCCTCCTATTTTTTCTCCCTTTTTCCCTTTGACCCCACTTGTCAGTGTATTTAAAGGAGGCCCATAATGTTACTGAATAGAATATTAAAATTGATAAGCCATTCCCAAACACACTCTTGTATGTGCAAACCATAAGTGTATAGTAAAAATTTTTTGTTCACAATCCATAGTTTTATTGATCTTTTTTCTTACATGGAAGCATCTTTACCTGATTGGTTGATGATGTCCTAATGTCTTTAGTTAGCGTTTATTTCTCTTTGTGTTCTGGGGGGACATATGATTAAAGATTAAGTTGAGAGAAGTGTAAAACACAGACCAAGATTTCTTAGTGCTCTCAAAATTGTGGAGTACCTTCAATCCTGTTCTCTTCCACTACATTCAAAACATAAAATAGTTCACTCCCATTTCAGAACATGGAGTAATTGAATATTCGAATAATATCTAAAGGCAAGTAGGAAATTCTAGCATTTTATTGCAGTCCGTCCATAAACTATAATTAATGATCAAAATAAATTAATGTAATAAGCCTTTCTAAAACCACAATGCTTTGTACTGAATGAGCATTAGTTAAGTGCAGAAATCCAGCTAGTAAACTTCCTTTCATCATACTCTTTTATAAGGATCATTATGAAAATAGAATTATTACAATAACACTTAGCAGTGGTTGATAAAGAGCATTCTTTTATTTTCTTCCATGTTAATGGCTACTGACTTTGAGTCTGTGACCAGCAACTATTGCTTTTTTTTTAATGGAGAAAAAGAAAAAAAATCAGAAATAGGGTACAAGTTATACAGAATTTCAGAAAAAAATAAACAATAGGAAATCACTAGTTAATAGATTACATATTGTTATCTTAGAAATAGTTGTTCAAGTTACAAAATTAAAGCATATAAAGTGGACTTTCAAACAGTGAGACTGGAAACAGTTTTATTAATGATCCAACAAAACTCAGTAATATGGTTATCTATCTTATACACTTAAATATATATGCGGTTATATTCTTTAGAGCACTTTTTCCTTTCTTTTGGACAATGACAATTACACATTTAGGGTTTTATTACTCCCACAGTTCTTATTACTTTTTTTTGAAGAGAGTAAAACCAAATGTGACATAACACAACAGAGTCAGTCAAATCAAAAGGATGAACATAATAGATAATGTAAAAACAAAATACTAGGTGATCAACAATGGTTACCATACTGCCTCTTGCTATCTTAAAAAGAATTGCCTATATCATCAGTTATAACAAAATTGAACAAAACAGTAAAGAATAAAACCAAAACATTGGAGACATTACAGGGCTTTAAAAGAAGATAATAGTCAACCGGAATGGACGTCATAATGAATCTTATTGTCTTTACAGTTGTTGCCTATACTTTCAAGCAAATCAGAAGAGAGGAAAATCAGTCAAAGCAAGATGGTAAGGGCTATACAAAGTTTCAAATCAAGTTAATAGGAAATCAAAGTGGGTTACTATAATGTATCCTGCTTTTTTTTATTTTTCCCTTAATTAATAAGAAAAAAAAGTACACAATTTTAAAAAAAAGAGACTGAGATAAAAGAGGGCATAACAACAAAACAGCGCAGGTCAAAGCATAACCATTTAAGTAAAATAGTGTTTCACCACAAGACATCCTGACATAAAAGTAGTTACCATAATGTCTTTTTCCTTGAAATCTTTGAGTATAACTTCCTATACTGTAGCACCAAACATATCAAGACAATGTAAAACCACTCAAGAGAATGACAGTATTACAGGGTATTTAGAACCAGCTATCAGAAAATGAACAATGGTTTCTGTATAATCTCCTTGTCTATAAAGTTTTTGCTTATATTATCACATATAATAAAATCCAATAAGATACAACCTGTTAAGACCAATGGAGACAGAAGAATAAAAGCTTAATGGGACTTCAAAGCAAGATGATACTAAATCAGCACTAGCTATTATGATGTCTTGTTTTCTCCAAAATAGCTGTTCCTACCATCCAATCTTGTCTGCCTCATTTCTGTTGAGCTCTTTTTCTGTCGTTTGTTGTCAGTTTGTCTTCTTCATTTCACTTTCTGCTCCATTCATTGTGGCCTCTCTGCCACTGTTTCTGAAGTCTTGGTATTTTCCTTTTTTTTAGAATATCCTGCAGTATTCTCTGTAGAGTTGAATTGGTGGTTGCAAATTCCCCTAGTTCCTCTTTATCCTGGAAGCACCTTGTTTTTCCATCAATTTCTAGGGACAGTTGTGCAGGATATATCAATCTTGGCTGGAGGTTGTTATCTTTCAAAGCTTGACTTATTTCCCCCCATGCTCTTTGTGATTTGATGATTTGTGCCGAGAAGTCTGCTGTAATTCTGATGGGTGTTCCCTTGTAAGTGATCTGTTTCTTGTCTCTGATGGCTTTTAATATTCTGTTCTTATATTGGATTTCTGAAATTTTGATTATTATATGCCTGGGTGTAGCTCTGTTTGGGTTGTAGGTGGCTGGGGTCCTGTATGCTTCATACATCTCAGTATCTTTACCTTTTGCTAAATTAGGGAAATTCTCTTGGATTATTTCTATGAATAGCTTTTGTAGTCCATTTGTTTGTGTCCCTACTTCTTCTTTTATGTTCTTAATTCTTAGGTTATAGATCCTCTTATCATCTTCTAGCCTTTGTATTACTGCTGTTTGTTTTCTTGTTATTTTTAAGAAGTTACAAGCTCCCATATTACAAGTCTGCCCTCCAATTCAGATAATCTATCCTTAGTTTCTTTCAAGCTGTTATGCCAGCTTTCGATAGAGTTTTTAGTTTCCTGGTAATTTCTTTGAACCTGCTTCACGTATTCTATGTTTTCTCTAGTTTCTCCATCAAACAATTCTCCCCTTTTTTTCTGTTCTTCCATTCCACCATCTGTTTTTTCTTGGGCGGTATTTAGCATTTCTCTAACTATTCTACTTATATCTTACTTTATTTCATTAAATACTTCATTTTTAAACTTGTCTATGAGGCTCTGGAGATATTGCTTTCTGTCTATTGGTGCCGTGTCTGATATTGCATGTTTTCTGTCTTCCTTTGCATTTCCCTTTCCTGGATCAGTGTTCTCCGGATTGGGGATTTAGGACCCTTTCTTGTTGCTTCCTCTTCTCATACTTTTTGTTCCTTCCATACAAGAGAGTGTAGGAGGCCCAATTTTTTTTTTTTCTCTTTGTCTGTTACAGTTTGTTTGAATCTGCTGGCTAGGTGTTCCCACCCACTGCAGTGTGCTAGGGAGACACAGACCTGGGCAGCCTCTGCTGGGCCTGCCCCTCCAGATCAACCTACCGAAGGCTTCCCTGCTAGGGTGCACCTCCAGGCGCTGGGACCTGGTTTGGGCTAGCCTACTGGGTCTTAGTTAGCGGCGTCACCCAGGGCAGGCACTCCCCACCAATCCCGCTTAAAAGGGGAATATGCGACTAAAGTCACTGCAGCGTCCTTTTCCAGCTAGTCTGCCTGGTCCCAGTATGTCCTTTGCTGGAGCCTCCTACTCTATGAAAGGCTCCCCGTTCCGCTCACTCACCGCAAGTCCATGTAGGGCTCCCTGCTAGTCCAACTCTGAACTCCGTTTGCAGATTCCCACTCTCACAGCTTTCACACATCTCTCTCCCTGCCCTGCAGATTGGATGCAGCAGCGGCAGCAGGAAATTCAAATCGTGGCTTCCATGGCGCGGGTTCTAGCTTCCGCACTGAGATTCTATCTGTTCCTCGTATAGCACCAGGATTGGATTTCTAGTTGGTTTCTCTTAGCTTAGTTCATTCCTGGGTCAGCAGGGTGTATTTCCCCTTGCTTAGGACTCCTCATACCGCAACATTCCTGGATTCTAAGTGGGGTATCTCACAGAGCCTCCGTAGCTGCTATTATCTATCTACCATGTCTCTGGAAGTCTGACCAGCAACTATTTCAAAACAGAGCGTTATCCAGAAACCTATCTATCTGCTTGTTCTGATTTCCTGAGGTCATAGATTTCCACATAACACACCCACTAATGTAACTCTTTATTTCATTTAGTTCACCCTCCCCCAGTCCTACCCATACTTGTCAACTGTAAGTAAATGAATCTCTGTGTGAATTATGTTTAAATTCTTCCATTTTCAAATTTGGGAGTTTCAATGTAATTTACAGTAGTCTCTCCTGCAAAAGAAACTCTTGAGATTGTGTGTCAAACACTGAAATAATAATCTTTTATTTTTAATATCTGGAACCTTGGAACCAAATATCCCAGAAATAGTCAAGAGGCAAAAAAGACACCATAGAGGCTGAGGATGTAGCTCAGCGGCATAAGCACCTGCCTTGCAAGCAGGCGGTTCTGAGTTCGATCCTGGTACCAAAGAAAACACACACACGTGCGCGCGCACACACACACACACACACACACACACACAAAGACACCACAATTGGAACTTGGCAGAATATAAGATCTAACTTATTGGCAGGAGATGGATGTTTCATTAAGAATTTGGGGGATTAGGATTTATGTGGGTAACAATTAAATGGAGCAGTGTTTAGATCTCAAAATCCTATTGTCCTTGGTACTAGTTTTCAACATCTAAAAGCAGACAGTCTTGGAAACGAAACATTTCTCCTTGCCATTGAATCATGCTTTTATTAAAATTATCTGAAAAATAAATACCAATGAGATAGTAATTAAAATTTACTTCACTTTTTTCTACTGTTGTACCTATGACATGAAAATTATAACTAGATGGTTGTTATATAAATGTTAGCAAAGTTTCATCCTAGAAAAATATTACATGATTTTTAAAAAACTTTTACAATTGTCTAATTTCTCATATCTGGGAAATATTAACCAATTCCTCAAAACATGGTTGATTTTTACATTTAAAAATCAAGGCTGACTTTTCTCATGTTTTACCTGAGAAATAAGTAGCTTATTTCTGGGACCTTGTTGAGGCCTGATAACCTAAGCAAGATCATGTGTAACTCTGAAGAAGAAATGAGAAGCGGGTGAGTGAGTGAGAAGAAACCCTACATTAAAATGAGCGGACAATGTCTTTATCCAGTTTCACATTAGAAAAGGCAACCAAAGTTTTCATTTTCCTGTTCATAATTTCACTTATTGTTTTTATCTTACTGAACTATTCAACAGGTATGGGTCAGGGGAATTTTTGGCAATAATTTTTATAAAATGTTTGCTTCTCTTGTATATTTTTCAAAAAAGTTGGACAGTCTGAAGAAGCTTTTCTCTAGGTTATTATTAAGCTCTTGTATTTTGTCAATTAGATATCAACTAAAAGGACATTCTTTTAAAAATCTAAATTGTTAAAGAGACAAAGATAATTACCATGAAAATATATTTTGCTGGAATTAGCCTGGATGGGAAGGGAAGACTTTTTTTCACTACAGGAAAAATTGGGGTAGATTTTTATTACTATAAGAAAAGTAATATTTTTCTGCTTCCGAAGTTATCTATAGGAACTATAGCTTTTATTATCAGATGCCAATAATGTTGCTTCACTTACAAACTTTAAAACAGCACTGGAATGAATAAGAGCCTTGTATTTTATGAGACAGAAGTAATGCTATTTGCTCTCTTGGTTCTTTGATCCCCCAAATTCCTTTGCACCAGTCCAACCCTACCTCAGCCTGTGGGCTCATCTGCTCCTTACCCAGTGGACCAGCTCTCTCATACTGTCTGGCTTTACTCTCAGATAAAGTCATTCTCCTAAACACTAAGTTGTTCAGTTCCATATTAATTCTATCAAGAATATTTGCATTGTCCAAGATCTGTTTCCAAATGGAAATTAAACAATGTAGGAGAATTAAATGATAATAGGAGAATCTCATGCATCAGAAGGACAGACTGCATAAATACAGGCTCCTTCTCAAAACTTCTCAAACAGCTGGAGGTGTCTACTGTCTTGCTCAGGTGAAAGGCACATCCCTACCAAAAAATGAGGGCAGTTTGTGAAGCATTAGAATATTGAAGTTGATTCAGAGAGACTGTGTTTATTTTTTAACTCTCAGCTCCTCCAAGGTCATTGGTGTTCTGGGCAGCAATCACATACCCACACACTTAGAGCCCATACGTCAGATAACTAAGAGGTGGAACTGTAAAGCCTTTTCTATTACTCATCCCCAAAGCTGATATGGAACCTGTAGCATTCTCAAAAACCCCTGGTGTGCCGGATGCTATTGTGAAACTAAGCATCATATTTAATATCGTAATCATTTATGCCAATTATATGAACATTTTGGTCCCCTTTGTGCTATGAGATAGATCAAGCTTTAGCGGTCTGGAAATTTGGTAGATATGTTGATGTTTGCTGAGTTCAACCACCGATCACTTTTTACCAGTTTGAAGAGGGTTAAATTCACTCTGGGGCACTGCAAGCCTCTCTAATCTTATCCTGGAAAAGTGGAACTCTGTCTTGGTTTACAGTGGAGGTCACCCTCGGGGGAGGGTTTGGACAGGGACTGATGGAATTATGCCGCGTTATTAAGATGAAACACCCTCAGTGGTGAGACGCAATGACGACATTTGAGTCCTTTGACTCCTCGAGGACAGTATCTTGAAGTATATGCTTCTCCAAGATGTGCTGGACTTGTAAAACTTTCAAGGGGTTCTATCTATTTGGCTGTCATCTTTATTTAATTTGAGAAAAAGATGTTTGAAGGGAGTTAGCAGTTAAGAAACATTTCTAAGGAGTAGAAAATGGGCTAGAAAATTGATTTTTGTTGTCAAAGTCATGCATTATAATTCACTTTCCAAGGTGATGCAGCTGCCAAAAGCTTTGAAAGTGATCTGCCTGTTTTCTTCTCACATGACTTGCAGGGAAGGGCTGGTACTTTTGAAAGAATTAAATCCTTATGGAAGTTTTGTTTCTAATGATATCCATCCATGTTTCTAAAAGAAGCTGACATGGAAAATTATATTGCCAATTGATTGTGTGCAATTTCTTGAATTTCCCAGTTGTAGCCATATATTTACTATTTTTTTTTCCTTTAAACGGAGCCCTCTATTTCCTTTTTTAAATGATCACACTTAAAGTTTCACCCACGATAATCGTATCTCCCACGGTGTGTGTGCCTACTCATGTGTATTATGCTTTTCAGGAGCAGCTTGTGACTGTGGCTATTTAATCAGGGCTATATTTAAAAACAAATTTTCAAGGGAGCGTTTCTCACATTAATAGTGAGATAAGGTCTGAGTGAAGCAAGCTCTGTCGCAAAGGCCAAGTGTCATGCAGCAGGAAATGCCGGCCATCCCGCCCAGCCTTGCCTCAGCAAGCATGCCACCTCTCTGACAGCACCTACCACCACACAGAAGAAATGCCCTCCCTCAGCCACAAGTGCCTTCCACTCCTCCAGGGGCTCTGAGCCCCAGGGTCCTGCACCAGCTCTGACTTCTCACTGTGTCAGTGAATCTTGGCCCCCTCTTTACAAATGGCTTTTGTTTGGGATTCTCTGGGATTCACAGCACCAGGATTGCCTCCAAGAGCCAAAACAAGATTGCGATTCTCAAAGTCCTACAGGTATTGCTCTTTCCTTTTAGTGTCTGGGAAGGACTTTTCATTAGCTTTAGGGGCTTTGCAAACCAGGCTTTGCCCTGTGCTGCTTGATTTAATTCCTAAAGTTGGTTAAAATTGCCAGTATATAAAATAAGAACTCAGATATTATGAAATAGTCTGGGTGTGTGGGAACTTGCTGAAGTATAAGAATACTGACTAACTCTGAACATTCAGTCTGACAGTTAAGTGGTGAACTTTAAAAAGCATTCATGTTACAGTAGTGTGGTCTGGAAAATGAGTTATTAACTTGCCTAATATATGAATATCATCAATATTATCCATATTAACTTTTAAGTTACCTTTTTAAATATTAGGAAACAGTCCTTGTTGGACTAAATGAACAACAGTAAGAGAAACAGTATACCTTTGCTTGAAGCTATTTCAGAGCATACATACTTGGAAAAGCTGATTCTATCACTGTGGTCTAAGTGGTAATTTGTCCTGCAAAATTAGGTACCATAAATTTTACATAAATATTTTATTAACCTTTTATTTCTAAAAGTTTCTCTAGGAGTCATCTAAAACCTCAACCTCATGCCCTCAAAGGGTCAGTAACTTTTGGTTCATATCAAAGTTTAATTAATTTGGACCAAATGACTATAAGAAAAACACAGAAAAAACTTGATTTCTTTCTTCCCTTTGTGCCCTATACTTTCAAATAGGGAAATTAGTGATTCTTCCAAATATTGTTTCTGATTGATACTAGTCTATACCTCTGCAAACTATTTTATCAATAGTAAATGTTGGCATAATCTTGATTTTTAAAAAAGGTATTTCTTATTTTGAGCAAATGCAGTGTATTTAGAAGCTGTCAGGCCTGTATAAAGGTATGCACTCACTTCGGATTAAAATGTGTTCTGATTTAGGGCTGGGGATTTAGCTCAGCAGCCTAAGTGCCTGCCTGCCAAGTGCACCTTCGTGAGTTCGATCTCTGGTACCACCAAAAAGAAGAAAAAAAAATTGTATTTTGATTTATATGCCTAGGAAACATTCAAAATTCGGATTACAATAATTCATAAGAATTATTTGCTTCAAACTGTATGGAAAAGAGTATCCTTGGAATATTTTTGAGAATTATAAAAAATCAGAAAAAATCAACTTATAAAATTGACTAGTAATTACCTAAGTAAACAAGGGATGTATATGAGATGCCAGCTAAATGTGTAAATAAAATTTTCATTTCTAAGCAAAATAAATACTATTTATTTTTGTTAATTACATAATTTGTTATACTTATGAAATTTAGTTGAGTATTGGAAATTATACTTCACATAATTATGTTTTGCATCCTACTGAATGTGATTTTCATGCTTATTACTTACATCTCATGGTTATTATATGCTAAGTTGTATCCTAAGCATTTATCAAAGATTTATGAATATCACTGTGCATATTTCCAATAGTTACTATTTCTAGAGCCCCTTCATCACTGATAGGTGTAATCATTTGGTAGCATGTTCCTAACATAAATATGTAAATGCTGAATATAGTAAAGTCAATAACAATATAGTAAAGTGAAGAAATAAAGAATCTGAGAAATCTCAAGAAATACAGTCTAAATTCTACCAGATGATTTATGAGTGAATTTTGAGACTTACTTTTGCTTTGTTCTAACAAAGGTATTTTTATTTCATTTGGCGAAGTTCTGGACCTTTCCAAAATACAAGTGCTGACTTAGCCAAAGATGGATTTTCTACATGTCTGAATGTTCATGTTAGTTCTAACAAGCTTTGTAAAAAAGGCTGAAAGATGATGATGACATCTCCAACAGCCATCACAGACTCATTTTTGGAAACTTGAGGGACTTTGTCCCTCATTTATTTCCTCTTACTCTGAATTTTTGTCGCTGTTATAGTAATTAGTTTTTCATATGCACTTTTTCACTATTATAGGTCTTATGTTGGGCTGCAAACTCTTTGGGGTCTGCGTCTCCCTTACTTGCAAAGCAATGCCCATTAATGCCTACTTGATGGACTCCTCTGTGCTATCCCTGCAGAATGTCTTTAAGAGTAGCACCAACTTGCTAATATGCTCACACCTACAGCAGATTGAGTTGAGTTGAGTGAAGTCAGGCATGGTGGCTCGTATATAATTCTAGCACTTCAGGAAAACACTGAGGTTAGAGGGTCACAAGTTCAAGCCTAGCCTAGGGAATTTAGTGACTGAAACTCTGTCTCAAAATAAAAATAAATAAATAAGGGACTGGCGATACAGTTAAGTCTGAAGGTCTTGAATTCAATCCCCAGGACCAAAACAAAGTTAGGAGGAAGATAGGGAAATAAAGGATAGTTGGCTGCCTGGTCTCACCTTTTCAAATAGATATGCATTCACCATATACTGACAGTAATAAAAAAATGTTTATGATATATCTTTAAACTTTTATCAGATGTTAAAACCTCAAACGTACCATGTATGTGTACACACACACACACTCGCATATGCATGCATGTATATTCATATTCACTTAAATGCTATAATTGTCTTCTGAATAGCATTACTGGAATTAGAGGCATTAGTACAAGATTTTAAAAGTATCTCTTAATTTTATAGCTTTCTGAATTTGTTATTTGTTTGTTTGTTTGTTTGTTTAAAATACAAGATTCTTTAAAATGTGCAAGTAACTTAAGCTTATCTTGACCTTTAAGAGACTTTGGATATGATTTCACTACTGAAGCAACTGAAAGACCTGGACATGAACCAGCATTTCTTCATTGGATTTCTCCCAAGTGTTTTCTGCTTAAGACTAATGTTTTATATCAACAAAATCTTCAAATAGGCCTATTACACAATCATTTTTTCTTGTGTGTCAAATGAATATTATCACATGGTATTAGTGGTACACATACTTTAAGCTGGAATAGAATTTTTTTGGCAGGGATTCCACTCCCTTCTAGTATGTAGCCAGAAAGAAAGCAAAGTCCGTAATATAAAAAATGTGGTTAGTCTGATTTACTAAAGTAGTAACCAATCATATAAATTTGCTAAATGTTGACTCTGAGAAGTATATTCAAACTTACACAATTATATAATGCTCAAAATAGACCTAAAGTAATTTAACAGTGACAAATTTTTATCTTTTGTGAGTAAAATACAATTTTAGAGAAAAGTCAAATACAAAGAGAGATCAAAAAATACAAGGAGAGATCAAATAATACTGTAAATGCTTACAATTTAAAAATTTATAGCAAAAGATGCATTGTCATGAATTTCCCTCAAAATACTACCCCTAGTTTTAAAATTTACTCATTCATTTTCCCACTTTCTGATGCAGTTCTAGAAGTCCTCTCTTTTGACTATATGAGGTACGATAAAATATACAGTGCTGCTGTTGAATGTCATCCACCAGAGACACAGGAGAGTAAACACATTCTGGTGCGTCCTTATCTACCTCCTTCACCAGATCTGATCCTATGTGACTTCTGGCTCTTCCTCAAAGGCAAAATGATCATGAAAGTGAAATTTTGAATTGACTCATGATATTGAGGCAGCCATGAAGCATAACTAAAGATACTCAAAAAGGAGAACTTCCAGAGCTGCTCAGAAAGTGGCATGAATGAGAGGATAAGTTTATTTAAAGCAAGGGAGGGTTCTGGGGAAATTCACAGTAGTGCACCTTTTGCTGTAATACATTTTTAAAAATTTAAACATTCACCATATTTTATGATCATGCCTCATATTTATATAGAGCTTATTAATCTCTGTTAGATTTGATGCATGAGGAGATTGGAAAAGAGAGATAAAAGCAAAGAGGGAAGGAGAAAAGAGCAAAGAGCAGAGGAAAAAAGATAGGAAGAAGACCAGGGAAATTCAGGGGAGCTGGAGAGATTCCAGTAGAATCGAGCGAATGTTCCTCTGGGGACTCAGAATGGAGTGCCAACTATGTGTAAAGTAAAGCAATGTCTGTGAGAAGCAGAGCTGTGCTTACTAAAGTGAATACTGCTTTGAAGGACAAGGCATTGACTTGCCACCTGGGTCCTGGCATTCTTTTTTAAAGCTTCATCTCATTGTTTTATAGATACTTCCCAACCTCTCTTTCAGAGGCAGAGAGGAGAATGATGTGCTCCTGTTAGAGATTAATGCAAGTTAGTTGATGTTTATTGAAATAATGCCCAGATAAAAGATGGGGGAAAGCATGATCTGGGAAGAAAAAATAATTAAGGAGCTGAGACATAACAAGCTTGTGAAATATGACAGCTCTGTCAAAAGAATGCTAACAAATTTATATTTTGAAAAAAATTTAGTTTTAAAAATTACAAAAGTTTTCTGGAAAACATTAACTAGACAGTTACTCTTCTAGAGATGTTCTTGCCTTCCAGCCAGAAGAAATCTCACAATTTTCTGCTTTGTTTCTTATTTAAGAGAGACAGAGACAGAGACAGAGAGAGAAAGATTCTGAAGGAGATTTTGCATGATGACAATAGGAGAGAAAGCCATCCAAGGCACACCACAAGGAGAGCAAGAGGTAGTTCCATATCATTCTACAGGTCAGAAACAGAAAGTATCTTTGATTGTTTGCTTTTTGAAATGACAGGCATCATGGGGTATGCTATACAATTGAAAGTCTCAGGAAATCTCCCAATCTCATTTTTGCAAATGATTTTAATACCTTCGTCTGTGCCACCTTTTAGGAAAGCTACCAAATCAGTGGCTTCTTAAGCATGCTCAACAAACTCATTTCTCATGTAGCTGAGAGGAAATAAATAAAATCTGATGGAAATAGAGGGAAGAGAAGAAGCTCTGAATGCAATAATCTTCCAGCTATAAAAAGACAGAGTGGTGTTTGCTAAAACAAGTTCTATAAATCAGCCCCTTTATTCAGAAAAGTATGCTGAAAACTATAACTTTGAAATGGAGCCTTTATAGGAGCAGACATAAATAGGGTTCATAGCAGAATATGGTGTAATAGATTCTCTTTGCCTCTACCAAAACCTCAGTATGGTAACACCAGTACTTGTTGAATCAAA